TTTTCACAACGTAACAGCCAATTGCATGGCTGCACTCTTTTTTTCTTTAACCTCTTCTCAGTAGACTTTTGGATTGTCCTCAGGATCTTGCTGCAAACCCTGGCATGACTACCTTTGTTCATATATCCTTTTTGCAGCTGCTGGATTCTTCCTTGGAATAAATTCTCAGAAGTGAAACTGCCAGCTGCTTTTAATGTTTTGGTTTCAAATTGCCAAAAAATTTTTTTCCATCTTTTTGTTTTGAGACAGTTTCACTAAATTGCCCATGCTGGCCTTGAACTTACAATCTTCCTGCTTCCTGCCTCAGCCTCACTAGGATTATGGGTGTGTGCTGCCACACCTGGCTAAAATGCTCTTGATTTCTCACAACTTATTCTGTCACCTGCGGCCCATGACTGCTCCTACCCAGAAGGGAGGGGAGACCTGCTCTAAGATGTACTCTCTCATCATAGGAAGGTTATCTACCACCAGCCTCAGTACTTAGCAGTGCAAACCCTGATGACAGGCCCCAAGATATCATCCCATCCCTTAGTTAGTCTCAAGCTGTGAGCCAGCAGCAAAATCATAGTACAGCCCAGGTGCCAGCTGTCTGTAATCCATCCTCACCCATGTGGATTGAAATGGAGCTGAACAAAGTGTCCAGTAGTGGAGGAAACCCTCTCAATGCCTAGTCAGTCTAATTTAAAGAAAATCTGCCAATGAATATGCACCTTAACCAGGGTGATGTTCCTTTATCTTCTAGCCTTGGGGTCAAACTCCAAACCACCTCTCCTCAAAGCTGAGGTCTACACTGGTTTGCTGCTTCTACTTCTAGTGGTTGTGGGTGTGCAGGAAAAGGAGAGAACCCTAAGAACTTACATAGAAGTGAAAATGCAAGAAGTGGGCCAGCACTCTGGGGGCCACACCAGGGAAGGCAGCCAGGAGAGTCTGGAGGTAAACCTCCAGGTCCTTCTCCCTCTTTTCCACCAAGCTTCTTGAGTTTTTCCCGATTATCTTTTTGGGTGGAAGTAGATTTTTATCAATCTTTTTCTCTGCAACAAGCTGTAAGAAAATACGAGCATTATCAACCACAGAACAAGAAGCTCTGTGCTTAGTAAAACTAAGGCAAGAAGCTGATGGCAGATACTTGCTATATCTTCCACGGCAGTACCAGGATTAGTGACCCTACTAGTGTACCTGGGAAGGCTTCTTCAAATCCAATTAGTATTTGAAATACTGATGCAATACCATATGAGGAATTTCATCTGGAGACTTTGGAGACCTTGAGAAAAGCAACGCTTTGAGTGCTAAAAAGCTGCCATCCTTCCAAACCAAAATGAAAACCAATCAAGGCAGTGAGAGTGTCTTTAAAATACTTTCACTACCAATGACCCAGAGAAAGGCAGCTCTCTCTGAAAGCAAAGGAAGAAATGGACTCATGGCCAGATATTGAAGAGTAGGCTCTGGAACAGCTACATTAGGTAGAACAAGTTCAAACATGTCCTCTCCCTGAGAAACTGTCTCATATACAAACTAGATCTGGAAATCAAAGTTCAAATATGAAAATAAAAATTCAAATATGCTTCTTGCAGACAACCTCAAACTGGGATTAAACTCCTAGGAGCTACCAGTTCTTTTTTAATAAACTGGTTCATTACAATAAACTGAACACAGAAGTTGCTTTTGTCCTAAAACGTGTGGCACAATGGGAACTTGGCCCCAAAGCCCCCAAGCCCTAAGTCACAGGCTCCCAGAGCCAAGAGTTACCTTTTCATGCAGGTCATGGAAGTCACTGTATCGGTGCTTGACTGTCCACTCATGGCTGCCATCAGTAACCTGGATGATATAAACCTAAAAGGAGAAAATGACATTCTTTGTGGAAAGGGGAGACAGCCAGCAAGCCGAAGTCCCGCCCCCATAACAATAGGGTATTCAGAGTATTCGGATTTCCTTCCCCATGGCCAAAGGCAGGTGTCCTTACCCATCAGTCTCTGTATCTGACCCCTGCTCAGCAGCAGGCCCCCAATCCTCCTCTAAAACCCTAGCACTAGGTCTGGAAGGCACATGGGAAAAGCCTGTGAAGTGGAAAAGGTGACTTTACCACAATAAGGCACCCCCTTAGGTTTTACCTCCTGCTTCTAGCTAATTTAAAACCCAACTTGAGCGGTAGGTAGGGCTGCCCTTCTAAGGCTGAGAGCAGGGCAGGTCAGGCAAGACCAGCTTCTCTCATGTACCTCTTTTTAGACCTTTCACCTGGATGATAGCTGGGACTTCTGCTGCTGAACAAAAAAAAAGTACCAACAACAGACAGTGGTGGGCAATCAGCCCTAATAGGAGGCAATATAATCTAATAGTTAAAAAAGACCGGGGTTCAAAACCTACTCTGCCATTTCCTGGCTGTAACTTATGTAAGTGATTAGGAGCCCAAGGTCTCTCTGAGCCTCAATTTCTGCATTTAAAATCTGGGAGGTTTCAGGATCAAGTAAGGCAATACATGCCAAATGCTTTGTGCAGGAACTGACACCCGACAGTAGATAGGTGTGTTGGTAACATCCGCCTGGCGCACCCAGGGACAAATGATGGTAGGATCAGCCTGGATCACTCCCTTCCCTCCGTACACGGGGTGGGGGCAGTTAGAGCTTTTTGGAGGTGTCCCTCCAGCCGATGGCAGCCCCTGATCTTAGTTTTGCGTTCCTCTCTGCAGCAGGGAAGGGGGAGGAGGAAACAGTCAACAGCTAAAAGCCTCGGCTCTGAGGAGCAGCCATTTCTCTAGGGCCGGCCTGTTGCTCTAGGATCCGCCCCCAGCCTCTCTTCCATCTGGGCAGCTCCCTCTCCCTGCCCCCAGAAGAAAGAGAGCCAAGGGAAAGGACCTCGAGAAAAAGGGTTAGGAAGAGGGTCAAGGGGGTGGGGCAGACACGGAGAAAAGGCTCCCCACCTACCCTATTGGAACAAAGGACAGGAGACTGGGGGGGTGCAATGAACCCCCACCCCAGAGCAGGTTTTACCAGGCAACACCCCCCAGAGGCCTGGTATCCAACCCCACCCAGACCCGAGGGCCTCAACATCACCGTAGCCTGGAAATACAGCCCTTTTCCGTCTTTTCTCGCCTCCACAGCCTAGGAGTTGTGGGGGTGACTTGCTACCCCATGAAAGCCACGAATCCCCCTAGATTCCTCCCTCATTTGGCACAGCAGATCCCGACCGTGATCCCAGACCCCCATCAGAATGCTGCCTCCTTCACGACTTGTGGGATCTTGATTCCTCTCCCATCCCATCCTCGAGAGCCCCCCTTCCCAGTGCCCTTCCTCCTGGATCCCCTATCAAGTTCTCTCAGGCCCGCGTCCCTCGCAAGGGAAGGAGGATCTAGGTCTCTGCCTCACCTAGACTTCCCCCAGCTCAGGCCTCCTTTACCCGGATTCCTCCCAACCAAATCTCCTTTCCCACCCTCCCGAGCCCCGCCCCAGAACCCTCCTCCCTGACCTGCGGGGTCCTCGCCCGCCCCCAGCCTCGCACCCAGGGCCCGGGTCTTCGCAATCACAGACCCCGCTACCAGCAACTCCGGCTGGCCGGGCCCAGATCCCTCCCCGACCCGCTAACTGGGACTCTGGGTTCCGGCCTCCACCCCGCTTCAGGTACCGCGCCCCCTGCACACCGTGTACGTGTCTACG